TAAGCATTGTCTGGAGAGAATTATTTTGCGTAAAAAATTATTACAAAGTAAATCAGTTGGAAAAAAAGGATTTGTGTATTTAATATTTGATTAAGTTAATCATGAAAAGTCATTCTTTTTTTTTAATTGTGAGGATAACAAATACTTCTCTTTATAAAAGTTATTGAAGCTGCATCATATGTTAAAAGAAATAACGTGTTATGTTTTTCTTTATTCCCTAAAGTTTTGTTATAAATTCATTTCATATTTGAGAAAAATTTTACCTGACAGAGTTAAATAAAAAATATATTATAAATAAGGCTCCACTTTTTTTGAATATTTTAAAATAGTTAATGGTTAATTCGCTCTTCTTTGTACAATAATTCAATTGATTTTTTTAATGTATTTCCTAATCACATAGGGCTTTATGTGGAAATTAATCCACAGAATTAGGAAAATCCACTGATTCCTAATTACATAAAACTTTCCTGTTGTAAAAGAAATCGTTTTTTTTTTTTTTTTTTTTTTTTTTTTTTTTTTTTTTTNTTTTTTTTTTTTTTTTTTTTTTTTTTTTTTTTTTTTTTACATTCATTTATTTATTAACACTTGCTTTCGCTTTATTATTTAATACAATTAATTTTGCAATAATTTATTAAAATTTTTAAATCGATACAATAGAAATATACTGGTAAATATATAATGTTATGCACTTTAATTTTCAATATTCTGAATCATAAAATATATTTATTTAAAATTTCAGATAACTTATTTAATTTAATTTACTTTTTGAACGTATCTTAATATGACTCAATATACTACGGCGTAAGACGATTCGCATAGTTACGTATATGTTATTTTGATATAGGTTTTAATAATGTATACTATACATTTATTCACTATATAAAATGTATTTCCGATTTATGTTTAAAATTTTCTTCATTCAAAAGTCTTGATAATTTTCGAAATTCATTATTAATTAAATTAATTTATATATTTAAGATGTTTGACCAAAGCTGTTAAAATACATTGAAAATAAATATTTCACTGTTATACATGATTGCTATTTAGTTTATCGTTTTATATTTTTATATCATTTTAGGTAACAATTCAAAATTATAAGAGCGCATTGAATCTACTGTGAGAAAGGATTTACCCATTTAAACTATAATTTTAAAATACAATCAAGAATATTACATTCTCGAAAATCAGATAAATATGTTTTGGTATTATATGAACAATTCAATGCCTGAAAATAATGATATTAAAAACAGAATAAAATGTACATTAAAATGCTGTTCCTCTTCTTTTATAATTTATTTTAGTTATTAATGAATAAATTCATCGAAAATTCCAAGATTAATTAAAAACAAATTTAATGAAAACAAATTCTTAATCAGAAAGTTAATTACGCGAAGAGCCGATAGATGGCGAAACTTTCGGTCTGCTTTATAGTTCCTATCTATAGGGAATTCTCGTGACTCATCTTGACTCTTACTCATTTTAAAGTTTTTCAAATACTCTATTTTCAATGACTCTTAGTTTCGAATGCCCCTAAGCAATTTCATTAAATTTACTCTGAAATGTTTTATTCTTTCGCAAAATCATTTAGTATTATAATTTAAATCTGTTATTCTTTTCTGCTATTGAATAGCTCTGTAACAAAACCAGCTAAACGTGGGAAATGTAATTATAAACCATATTGCAATATATATATATATATATACTAAGCGAACAAAAGTAGAAACTCAAATATATTTCTTAGAAAAACTGAAAAAAAATGTTTAACAAGATCATTAATTAAGTTTTCTCCCCTTCAAATTTGTAGTTATCAGGCATATCGACAGCTAAATTTTATTATGAGTTTGCATCAAAATCTAAGCGTCAATATTGTTAAATCAAATCGTATACTATCAACAAACTTCTGTTTTACGAATTACAAAATAGGTTAAATTTACGAAAATAATTATAAAATATATCCATCTTTCTTTTTGAATAAATAATTAAAATATTTTCAAAAAATATTGTTTTTAAGTGTATATATTATTTTTCCTACTTCTTTTTTCATGCTTCATATCTGAAAAACTTTTGCAGATAAGCAAATTTAACATTTTGAGGTAAGCTTTTAAAAAAGAAAATTGAAAATAAAACTTTTTAATTTTATTGTAACAAAATAGTGAGTTTAAAATAAAAAGTTATGCAATAGTTAACCAACGTTAGCCAAAGTTTTGAATCAATAATGCAGTACATGTAATTCGAATAATGTGTACATTAATAAAGCTCTCAGTGAAAATGAAAATACTGAATAGTATTTGATTAATCAAAATTTAAATTCATTCACATTGCTGTTTTTTTCTAACCATGTTAAATAATTATAATTATCTTTTCAATAACATTACTTATATCTTAATAATTTATGAAATTATTGAATAAGTTTTAATAATTAACTAAACAAACATTATGATTATAAGCAAATATACACAAATTAGGACATTAAAAATAAAAGTTTTATCAAGTCATCTAAAATAGACTTAAAACATGTATCTTTTCTTTCTAACAAATTAAAATACATTATGGTCCTTATTACCACACATTCAGTAAAAATACAAAAATGAAAAGTAAATTTAACCGAATAAATATTTTTATGACTTATTCTGAGATATCACGATGAAATTACCTACTGTTTACCACATTTAACCAATTTTATCACACGTCATAAAGGTTTTATTATTTTTCTCAAAGTGTTTCGGAAAAAAATTACTAGAGTTTTTTGGTGTTCCTTTAGAGCCAGAAGCACAGTAAATTTTACCATTTTCTGGCTATTTCGATCATACTTTTTTCCTCAGAGTAACATTGTTCAAAAAAATAATAATCCTCACATGTAATATGGTAATTTAAACGTATTAATACTTTGCTATCAAAAATATATGGTCATCAGTTTTTATTTTTTAATATTTTACATTATAACTTTTTGTAATGTTTATATTTTTAAACGTTTTGTGCGTTTACTTATAATTTTCTTTTAAAATTGATTACATATTTTTTATTTTATTGTGTCATTTTTCGAGCAATACAGTTGTTTCATAACTCTTTATAAATTTTATGAAATTTATTTTAGAAAAAGGAAATCTTAAAAGGATACAAGATACTCCTTACAATTTTAAAAATTGAATTTCGTTTAAATTTGCTACTGAAAAGCAAAACGAAAAAGAAAAAAAAAATTTCTTAAGTAAATAATTTTTACATGCAAACCAGAAACTACGTTCATCACAAAGTTATAAAATTATTTTTAAAATTTTTTTTAAAAAAGCAGCTTTGAACCAAAGTAGTCTGAATACAATGAACAAAAATAACTTCAACCCAAAAAATTTCAAAGCGATATCAGAAGTAATTTATTAGAAAATGTGTATCGAAAAAGGTCAGTTTTAGCATTATTGATGTATGTCCTACTGAATCTACTTAATTGGAATTACCAGGTTTCCTTTTAAACTTATTATAAATGACAGAGTCTAATGAATATGGAAATCAGAAAAAGCTCATAAGAATTTAAAAGATTATTATGATACATTAAAATTTATTATTGTAACAATGACTTTACTGTGATAATTAAGAAACAAAATATTATCTGAAGTAATATTTTTATCACAGTCTTAGTACGGCTATTAATGCTTAGAATCTCTCTGATATAATCAGATAAGAATATTTTCTTTTTTAGATTTTAATTCTTTTTTTTAAAATATTTTTCGTTCAAAATAGTTAAATAATAATAAACTTATATTCAGCTTAAGATATTTGATTTAAAAAATTAAACTATTTATAGTTACAAAATTTCTGGCAAATCCGCAGAAAACACTAATGATAAAGAATAAAAAACTTAAGTATAAAACATGAATTAGAGAAGATTTATAATCGTAATCAGATTTTTCTTGAAATATATCATTGTTTCCTTTCACATATTTATCATTTCTTATATCATTTCTAATATAACTTCTTATATCATTTCCTTAATCATTTCTAATTTCTTTTTATTTTATTTTCTCATCAAAATCATAATTATTACATATCTACAACATTTTTTTTAAATAAAAATTTTTTTTGTATAAGGATGATTTTTATACCTACATTTCAGATCTAAATTCTAAACTTCATGAAAAAACAATGAACACAAGAAATACAAACTAAAATATTTAATAATTTATTTATAAAATATCAAATATATTTACAAATTGAACAACATGGAATGTAATTTGAATTTACATTTACTATAATATACTGTTTCTTTGTGATCTTTAAGAAAATAGAGAAATTTTAAGTAAAAATGTACGCATTTTAACAACAGTGCACCCATTAGCAAGTACAGCCTATTAAAAACAGTAAAAAAATATGGCAGTGTATAATTTAAAAATTCACTATAGTTAAACTAAATTAATAAACATTTGTTCATATATATGAATAAATAGTTACTTTTAAATCAGCACCTTGTGTTCATAAGCATGAAAAATTAAAAATTTCAGAATTTTATCTTTACAAAAATATATAATGTATCCTTTTTATGCCAAAATGATCTTTGTTTAACATAATTATGTAAAATGCAAATACAGTATCTTCACATGATAATACAAAAACAAAATCAAAACGAAAAATAGTAAATGCACATTTATGACGTAGACTAGAATATAAATGTAGCAAAAATAGTTGACTAAATCGAAATTCATCTTCGAATCACAAATTATAAAATATAATAGACCACACGTGAAAGTAAATCAAAAGAAAAATATGTTTAATTTTGTACATAATTGCGTTAATCAGAAAATCCTTGTGAAGAAAAGCAATTAACATTGATAATTCACCTGATTGTTTGAAGAACCCTGAGATAGTTCGCACTCTTAATCTAAATAAAAAATTCAAATACATTATTTGACGAACGTACTGCAATCAATGTGTTTCTGTGCCATTTAAAAAATACTACTATAAAAGCAATAAGTTTCTAAAAAATATCTAATTTATACCTATCGTAACAAAAATATTGATTTACATATAATTAAACTAAAATTAAAATATTTATGAAAAATCAATTTAATTTAATTTATATTCTGCAATAGCATGAAATGATGTGAATCTAAGTTCTGATAAAAACTTAATACTAATCTGTCATCATAAAAATATTAATCCTTTGTGCCAAAACTATTTTTAAGTAAATCAATTTTATTTAAATTTTTTTACAGCTACGTAAATAATGTAAAACTATGCTATGATCCATACTTCATCTTCATAATATATATAAAAATATTAATAATATTTTTTATCTTAACTTCATGCAATAATTTTTAATAAAAAAATATATATTTGATTTAAAACTTTTTCACCCATACAAAATAATGTAAAACATAAATTGGGATAAATAGTGGCATTACAAAACTAAGTAATTTCGATATTATTCAATTTTTTTAAAAAAATATATTGTAAAAAATTTCATAGAAGAAGGTTTTCTAATATAAAATTAAAAGTTCTCTTAATAGATTCCTCGTCATCATTAAAACAATGATATAATTGGCACTGTGGCATTTATATTTACACAACTTCAGTTCAGTTTTTATAAACTATTCTCTAAGCAACAACTCACTCAAAGCAGTGATGTAACTTTGGGCCATTTGCAGCGTTTCATACTTTGATAACTTTCTGTCGTTACCAATTGATGGAACCACATCTCTTAGTTTATCGAATGCAACGTTCAAACTATGCATTCGTCGCCTTTCCCTTGCATTAGCAGCCAGTCTTCTTTTTTTCATAACAGCAGGCGAAGGAGGCCTATCAGAAAGCTTTCTTTTATGGCAACTCCTTGGCGAAGCTGCATCATATTGACTGTCATCATCGTCATCAACATCATCATCTGGAATGAAATTAGACTCAAAATTTATGCCTTGTTGATTGTCCAAATGTCTGTAGTCGCCAACATATTCAGTGCTTGGGTCATTATCGGTAACGCGAGTTAGCAAAGTGTCTGATGTTCTTTGATGCTGATTGCTAAATGTGAATGAATTGCTCAGATCAGCGATAGTCTTTGGCGCGATGTTGGGATAATGTCTGGTTGACCTTTGCAGATTTGTCGGCGATGAACCTTTGTAAATAAGACTGTTGTCAGGAAAAATAAAGGCAGTGTTGTTGGTGTTGGAAGAGTGTAAAGATTTCATGGGACTATAAGTGGAAAGATCACAAAATGTTCTGATTGTACTGTCGGTCTGGGAGGGACTCGGGACTGGAGTATTGCCTGATGCAATGCTGGTTGGGCTGGAGGAGGGACTATAGTTTCCGTCAGAGTAACCGGTGTACATCATTCCGTTGTATCGTTCATCGGATATTAGATTCAGCTCCATCTTCGATGCCAAGGCAGGTAACAGAGGATTCACGAAGTGTTCAAGAGCGGAAGAGCGAACCACGTCCATTACAAAGTTTCAACTACAGCAATCTAGAGAAAAAAAATACATTATTAAACAATGCAATATTTTATTATAATTTAAATTAGAACTAAAAATTTTAAAACCGAATCATCCTTAGATAATATTTTCCGGAGAATTGTTTGTAATTATACACAATTATTTACTAGAGAAAAAAAATACATTTAATAATAATATGACGAAGTGACTAGATTCAAACTGGTAAAATAAATTTAAAAAGAATAAATTCGGAAAACAAAACTTTTATTTTTGGTATGACTATAGACATTTTAAGAGCTATTTTTATGTTAATTGCTCTTATAAAGAAAGCATATTTAGAAAAATATGCTATTTTTAAAACAACTAATATCAGTAGTTTCAATTAAAACTAAATATAAATAATCCTATAAACCTATAAAAAAATTTAAATATTTCGAAACATCAGTACAAAATTTAAGTTACGTAAACTGCTTTTTTTAAAATTCACAATATACTATTATTGTAGTGCAAACTATATACTCCTAAAAGCATTGAAATTGCAAAAAGTTCACAGTCAATATTAAAATTTTAATCTTGATAANTATAAGTGGAAAGATCACAAAAAGTTCTAATTGTACTGTCGGTCTGGGAGGGACTCGGGACTGGAGTATTGCCTGATGCAATGCTGGTTGGGCTGGAGGAGGGACTATAGTTTCCGTCAGAGTAACCGGTGTACATCATTCCGTTGTATCGTTCATCGGATATTAGATTCAGCTCCATCTTCGATGCCAAAGCAGGTAACAGAGGATTCATGAAGTGTTCAAGAGCGGCCGAACGAACCACGTCCATTACAAAGTTTCAACTACAGCAATCTAGAGAAAAAAAATACATTATTAAACAATGCAATATTTTATTATAATTTAAATTAGAACTAAAATTTTTAAAACCGAATCATCCTTAGATAATATTTTCCGGAGAATTGTTTGTAATTATACACAATTATTTACTCGAGAAAAAAATACATTTAATAATAATATGACGAAGTGACTAGATTCAAACTGGCAAAATAAATTTAAGAGGAATAAATTCGGAAAAAAAACTTTTATTTTTGGTATGACTATAGACATTTTAAGAGCCATTTTTATGTTAATTGCTCTTATAAAGAAAGCATATTTAGAAAAATATGCTATTTTCAAAACAACTAATATCAGTAGTTTCAATTAAAACTAAATATAAATAATCCTATAAGCCTATAAAAAAATTTAAATATTTCGAAACATCAGTACAAAATTTAAGTTACGTAAACTGCTTTTTTTTAAATTCACAATATACTATTACTTTAGTACAAACTATATACTCCTAAAAGCACTGAAATTACAAAAAGTTCATAGTCAATATTAAAATTTTAATCTTGATTATTTGACAAAATTACTAAAATTAACTTAAAAAATAATAAAAATTCAGAAATTTTTTTTTTTAAATTTTTCTTCAAAATTTTAAAGTTAAATAGAATGTTATGAAATGCAATCATTGCACGTGAATTAACTTTGTTTATTTCTAAACTATTTTGCATTCGTATTTTCCTATCACTATCGCAGAATTTATTATGATGAATTATTAAAATTTAAATCAAAAATTTTAAAAATTGCTTTAATGGCAAAATATTTTAATGAAAATATTAGAAAATTAGTGGGAGATCTCCCATCAATAAAATATCCACCATAAGCGCAGCAATTTTAATACTTTACCGTAAGTTAGATGATAATTTTTTATCGAACAAATTATCTATTTACATATATTTATAAACATGTGAAAATATTTACATGTATATGTATTTTTATATGTATATTTATATTTATGGGACATCATTTACAGTGCCTTAAAAATTTTATATTTTAAACTACTTTCACGTATTCTATACACGCATATTGTATACTTTAACGTACATTCATTGACTTTTAATTCAAGTGCTTTTTATTTGTGATGTACAGCAAATATGAAAGTTATTTATTTTTTGTATAAATTTAAAAATTAGTGCCCCATAATAAATTTAAAACAAATACTATTCGATTATACATTGTGTTCGATATCATACGCGAAACATATCCTTTTTCTATCATTATTTATTATCATTTTTTTATTGTTTTAAATGTATTTCGTTTCATTATATTTTATCAGAGATAATTACATAGCAAAGTACAAAAGAGTGAAGAATTTTCTTCTAATTTGCACATATTTATTATGTTTCCTCTACCATCATTTATATCGACTTATTTTTAATAATATTTGCTAGAAATAATATTCTTATTTTAAATAATGCCAAGATTTTTATTTTATAAAATATTTCAAAAGGGAAAAGTCATTTTAAACTGAATAAAAATATAACAAAATTGTAACACTAATAAAATTGAAATATTCGCCCATCGTTATTTTCAAAGTCATTAGTAAACTAAAAAGCAAATTCACAAGAATTGTAACTTATATAAAATATATTGTAATGAAATGAATTACAATCTTTTATAAATTTTATGATATTAATTTTTCTCTCTCTCATCTTCTTCCTCTACTTTTTTACATGATTCAGTTAAATTTTTCGGAATAAAAAGTAGTTGAAAGAAAAATCACAAGTTTTTATATCTAAGAATAATTGAAAATAATAAGCTTAACAAATTGTAACTTATATAAACTTTTTTTAATTTTGTCAATTTATAAGTTAAATTAAAAGCATCCTTTCAATATTTGATTAGTTTAAAATTGTTTAATATTAAACATAGAAAATGCTTTTTTAAAATTAAAAATACCAGTTTAATTTTGAAATACACAATAAATATATTTTTTGAAAATGATATAATCAATATCATTATTTTTAATACAAGGATTTTTACATCCAAACATTACAATTATGTTACAATTTTTACATACAAACATTTTTAATGTCATCAATATAAATGATAATTTTTAAACAAGTATGTCTTAGAAAGCACACACATTTCAATGTGATTATTCCTAAGCAAACAAAACATACTCAATAAACGGTAAGCAATATTATTTTAAGAAATAAAAATTTAAAGCTTTAAATATGAAAGCTTCAAACAAATAATTTAAAATTGATCAAATTGTAAAACTTTATTTAATCATGAAATTTTTAACAAAAGGTTTCATTAGTATTCGGTTATACAGAGTTTTAAACAATTTCTTCTCATAACTACTATTTTTGTACACAAAAACACCAAGTGTACATAAATATGGTGAATTATTAAAAACGCTAAAATTACATATTAATGAGAAATTGGTAACATATCAATTTATCGCGTTGAAAATTCAGAACATTTCAAAAAATTATCAATTATTTACCACAAAATGCTATTTTAAGAAAAAAATAATTTCAGTTACCATAATCTGTGTGATAAATGATTATGTATAATATACAACATGTAATTGTTAAAAATAAATTCTCTTTTACAGTAAATATTGAAAAATATTTTTGCAAATATTTAAAACTATTGAAATAAATTATCCCAAGAAACTAAGACAGAAAGCTGTACTTAAAAATGGAAAAACTTCATTAGCTTAAAAAAAGTATTGAGACAAATTTTTATGTTATTTAAAAATTATTAAATTTTCCAATTTTAATAATTTTTTAATCTAATGAAGTTTTTCCGTCATCAAGTATTTCAAACTGTTATTCATCAAATTAAAATTTATCATTACATAAAAAAAATCAATAAATATTAAGCAAATAAAAAATAATAACATTTATTTAAAACATTTAAATTAATTGAAATACATATACATTAATAGATACGAAATCTAATTAGAAAAATATATGTATTTTTTTTCTAATCATTAAAAACACACTATAATCAACTATTTATTTTCTGTAATCAAGTATTTATTCATCAAAATAAAAACTTTATACTTAAAAATGCATACCATTAGAAAAAAATCAATACATATTAAATAAACAAAAACTGATAACCATTTATTAAAATTAAATATTATTTTAAATACACTTACCTTAATAAAAACAAAAACTGACGAAAAAATATAAATAGTCTTTTCCAATCATCAAAATCACACAAGTTATATCCAAAACACTTAAACAGTTCTTAAATAAAAAATCAAACGATTCACTAAGAATTCTTTTTTCAGAAACAAAAAGTGAAACTCTTCGGCATTTTCCGCATCAAAAGCACGTGGAGAGAAGTTCTTGAGGTTTGGAAGTAGCACCACACAAGATTTCGTGTTCACAATAAATGATATACCTGAAGCATAACAGACCCGTTATATACCTGTTGTAGTGTGGAAAAAGACCCCCCACCCCTACTGCAACTTTTGGCTTTGCATGTCGCCGCTAGCGAGGCATATCATTCGAGGGGGGCCGAACCATGGAAGGTGGGGCTACGATGAAGCCAATTCTGGCGGGAAATTGGTGGGGGATTAGATAACTGTCTTCCCCACGGATATTTCTTTTNTTCCCTTTTTTTTTTTTTTTTCTGTTTTAGTGAACCCGAATGATGAAGAAAAAAAAAAATAAGTTGAATTGTATTTTAAGCTCCATCTTCACTATCTGTATCTAATCAAAAAGCGGTATAAAGTGGTTGACGATTATATTGTACAATATTTACATTATTTTAAAATAATTATTGATCATTCATGATTATTTTGTGTTTAATAGAGAGGGACGAAGGAAAAAATATTGTTTGAATCGTACTTTCCAACTCCATCTTCAATATCCGCATCTAATTAAAAAGCCATTTAAGGTAGCTGATGATTATATTTTACAATATTTAAATTATTTTACAATAATTACTGATCATTCATAATTACTTTGCGTTTAATAGAGAGGGATGAAGGAAAAAATATTGGTTGAATCGTATTTTCAACTCCTTCTTCTATATCTGCGTCTAATTAAAAAGCCGTGTAAAGTGTTTGATGATTATATTGAACAATATTTACATTATTTGAAAAAAATTATTGATCATTCATAATTACTTTGCGTTTAATGGAGAGAGATGAAGGAAAAAATATTGAT